AATAAATTAGCTGGGTGTGGTGGCATGCACTTGTAGTTCCAGTTACTTGGGAGGATGAGGTGGAAGGATCACCTGAGCCGGGAGGTTGAGGCTGTGGTGAGCTATGATGGCACCACTGCACTCCAACCTGGGCAACAGAGTGAAAACCCAACTCAAAAAAACAAACAAACCTGATTATCGGCACCCAAAAGAATTAACGTGTATTCAGATTAATTAATTTTTACAATTCAGTGTCTAGATCAGGAAGTTAAAGTTCCAATCAGTGAATTCCACGCGAGAGTACTGCACTGACAGTCCAATGAAAGATGCGTCCCCATCAACAGCAGGAGCGAAAGAAGACCCAGATAACACCCACGGAAAGGTCGGTGATGCTCCTGAGAGCCACCTCTAAACCGTGTCCTAGCAGTCAGGAGCATTGGCTCAGCCAGTTTCCAGGGAAGGCCCACAGCAGAGCAGACTCAAGACTGGAAAGGAGCTGCACCCAGTCAGTGGTGCTGACCCGAGCTGGCTGTGTCAGGATCATCTAGAATGCTCACTGAAAACACAAAAGGCCAGGCCCCACCTCATGTCTAACAGATTAGAAATTCCAACATTTAACTACAATGCACATTTATTTTTTAAGAGTATGCCAGGTGGTTCTGAAATTTCTATGATTCATTAAAAAGTTAATTTACGTGTAATCCCAGAACTCTGGGAGGCCGAGGCAAGTGGATCGCCTGAGCCTGCGGATTCAAGACCAGCCCGGGCAACTTGGCGAGACCTCGTCTATACAATAAATCAAAAATTAGCCAGGTGTGGTAGCACACGCCTGTAGTTCCAGCGACTTGGAAGGCTGAGGCAGAAGGATCGCCGGAGTCCAGCAGGTTAACGCTGGGGTGACTGTGAGCATGCCACTGCACTCCAGCCAGGGTGGCAGAGTGAGACTTCAACTCAAAAAAAAAAAAGTTCATTTAAAAATACCACACAAATTAAAACTGTAGCACACTCTTCTAAGTAGTAATATATTAATTGATTCTTCTTCCCATTTTGTTAGCATATTAGACTATCTAAACTAAAAAAAACTGCAAAGAGTAAGGAAAAAATTTTTTCTTATACTGCAAAATTATGAATACAGGTTTGTTTGCATATAATGTAAATATCAAAAGATAAATATATTAATAGTTAATTCACTCTAACCACTTCCAGTGACAGAAATAAATCACACTTGACACATTTGGAAAATTTTTTTTTTACTTTAATCTTACAAGTTAATTGCCATTATGCTCATTTTAAAAACTTGCTAGCAGTAACTAAAAGGCATTAATAATTCCTCTAGTGATTTACTACACTGGAAACATTGACCAGCCCTCAATGCATGCTGCTGTGCCAACGACAATCAACACAAGACAGACGGCATGTGCTGTGTCGTGGGGCTCTTAGTCCAAGACAACTAATGGCGGCACAGTTCTAAGAAAACCTAACTACAAAAATTCTACTCAAGTGCAACACGAATGATGCTATGCTTAATAAGCAAGACTTCAAAACACAGAGGAAAATTTCCATTTCCTTATTTTTACTAAGGTAGAAATAAATGGTTTTTAAGAAGAATTGAATGTCAAATTTACGGAAGGTGGTAGGTATACTGTGCTTGTGTAAGAGCTAACATCCACTGAAATATTTAGGAGTAAAGGGATATTATGATGCCAGTAACTTACTCTCAAGTGTTTAAAAAAAACCATGTGTGTGTGCGCGCGTGTGTGTGTGTATAGAATGAGAGACAGAGCTGGAGGGAGAGAGAACACACAACAAATGGGATAAAATGTTAACAATAAATTAATCTGGATAAAGTTATAGAGAGTTTTTTGTAATAATTTATTTGGGGGATTTTTCTATATGTGTGACTTTATTTCAAAATAAAAAAGTTTTCTAAAAGTGGGAAGACAGATAAATGGGAAAAAACATTGTTCTTCATTCTTGACAATGGGCTAGATGGGGGCTCATTCGACAATCTCTCTTCTCTGCACATCTTTGAAATTTTCTATAATAAAATGTCAAAATAGAAAACTAAAGAGTAAATGAAGTCATGTACGCATAGTGAAGTCGCTGCTACAGTATCTGGCAAACAGAAGGCACTCGGTGAACGCGCTCCGTTACTCTCACAGAGTTAACATCAGGATTTGCAGGCGGTCTAGATGTGTAAGGTGCTCTGCTGGACACCCCCGGTCAGGAGACAGCTTATGCTCTCAGGATGCAGATGGCCACAACTACGAAAGCTAGGACTCAGAGCAGCAGAAGCTCAGTCAAGGGCACACTGGGCTCAGGCACAGGCCAGCATCACCTCATTCCTCTGTAATCTGAGACACAATCAAGTGATAACTAGCAAGATCACTTCTTCTATCATACTTAAAAAGTAAAACTATTTCAGATAGATGAGCTTGCTAGGAGAAAAAGGTAAGAAGCTCAAAAGGCAGCACAGTAAACACATGGTATGTAAACGTCAGGTCCATCTTGCCATAGCAGAGCCAGGGTGGGGAGAAGGAGGCGTGCACCTAAGCGACACACAAAGCAGAGCGGAACTGTCACGGGAGAAGATCGCATCTAGCAGGAGGGCAGAGGAGGTCTTCATGGAGAAGACAGACCTTAATGGATGGCTGGGCAGCAAACCCACAGAGAAAGGAGGGAGGAGGACTCCCAGTGAATGAAACACAACCCCAAGCAATGGCATTTCCCAGGAGAGCATCAGGGTGCAAGAAAGTTTTTTCTAGAGTCTGGGAAGCACACAGGAGAATAACTGAGAAGTCACCTGTAGAAGTAGGCCAGAGGGCCTTGCCTGACTGAGGAGGGCCCCTCCCCATCTGGCCCATCACAACACAAGGCTCTCCTCTTCCCTGCCACAGCCAACCAAATCTCACTGTGCAAAGCTGCAAGGATTTTTTTAAATTAGGCATCTGTTTCAAGGGAAACAATTTAAGCAAAACATACAATGCACACACTACTATGAAAGGAAATGCTTGCTACGTTCAGGAAAAATGCAATCCCCACAAAAACGAATGCCATCCAAAATAGTTTATAATTTACATTTGGCTTTAGAATGTCTTTGGTGAGGAACTTTCAAATCCTATTTTTCTCAAGCCCGTACTAGAGTAAGAAAATTATTTAACCACAACCAAAAGATCATCAAAAGCCAAAAGAACTGAAGCCAAATTTTGGCAACTTGATGTACTTTCCCGGAATATGGCTTAATTTAAAATTACTTGACTGTAATCATTTTTACATTTCATTTTGCCCACAGTACATAGCTGTGCTTTTTAGGAGAATGTCCATTTGTTGTTGTTTATAACCATTTGAGTCACATACTATGAAATAATGAATCCATAATTACCCCATCTTGATTTATACTTTTACATGAATAGTTTTATGAAGATTTAGGAAGAAAGCTATATAAATAAAATATCTCATGACCCTAGGACATAAAAAACCATAAATCTAATTTAATGCACTTAACTAAATATTATATTTTTAAATGCTGAGAAAAAAAGACCACAGAAAATTATATGAAAATCATCTCAGAAATCGTCCATCCCAATCAAACTCTCATTATACAGACAAAGAAACTGAGAGATAGAAGAGTAAGGGCCTTCCTTACGATATGCTGCTACCCAGCTAGGAAAAGATCTAAAATTAAAAGTCAAGCTTTTTGGAACCTGGTACACAAATGACATGACATATACTATGGAGCTTCCTTTTGATATGACATATAACTGAAAGGAAAACCAAATATTACGCACAAATCTGTGTGTACAATTTTAAAAACAGCCAAATATTGCCATTGTTTTGAAGAAAGCAGTTATGAACTTCTACCATCTCCCCCACAAAAAATCCTCTAGCCATACTAGACTACTAAAAAATACACAGCTTTTAAATACTTATACCAGTTTCATGGTCAAATAAAAAAAACACTAAGCTAATGAATTAAGCCTTCCCCTGGGACACAAAAAGCCCCTCTTGTTCTGAAAGAATGAGGGCACCGGCCAGGAACCACTCAAAGAGCCCACGCAGGCAGCTGCTTGGCGCCAAGGCACAGGCAGGCACAAACATGATCCAAGTCACCACACAGGAAGAAGGCAGAGGAAGGTAAGTCCTAGAAAGGCTGGTTTACTGAGCGTTCATTAAATCAACAGAGCGAGTCTGCTGTTTTCTAAGAGCTCTTTGAAAAGAAGTTCCCAAGAGTCGTCTCCTAACAAGTTATCATCAAGCGCTGCCTTTTCACATCATAATGACCCAACCTGAGTGTGGACAACGTGCCACAGTGTGACTCAGCTGTGGATCAGCACCACGGACCTCTGCACCCACGGCTCGGAGAGGATACCCACCACCAGGTGCTACTGAGTTTTGGGGTCTCCTTCAGGAAAAAGCAGATGCTCCCACCACCCAGGCCCTCCCGCAGAGAGGTCCTCGTGCTTCCGTCGTCTGCAAACAAGGTAGGGAAGGGCTTTCTGCAGTTGGGAAACTTGTACCCAATCAGATAAGCTTGTGCCACTTCACAGTTTGTTACAAAGTTCTCCCAAATGTGCCAACATGTCACTGAACAAACAAAGCACCAGGTACAACAGAAAAACTGCACCTAATTAGTCACATAAAATCCTAACCAAAAACAGTCTAAAATAACTTGAAATACAAAGATTTCCTCCTATAACACAAGCAATGAAAAGTTTACAAAGGGTTAATTTTATTTTTACTGTGTAGCCAGAATTCATGCGATTTGGGTATTTATACATAAACATTCTTCCTGAAAAAGTGTTTCTGCAGGTAAATAATCCATCATTTTTGCATATGCTTAACATATAATAAATCACAGAATGAAGAGATTAATATTTTAACTACTTGCTGTTTTCACATTCAGTCAGCTGCGCAGTCTCACTAGGAATGCAGTGGCAGCAGCCAGGTGAACAGAATGTCTTACACCTAATTAAACAAAACGTATGCACACCGAAGAACTGAAAAGATCGGATAAGACTTACTGGCCACTCCTGATGCAAGTCCGTAAAGCAGTCCTCCCCCCTCCGACTGCTGAGGGAAGACATGGGCTCCTGGAGGAGGCGGCTTTTCTTGTCTGATAAAGTTATACAATAAGGTCTTCACAAGTTTGCTGGTATACGGAAGACTACACAAAAAGAAAAAAAAAAAACTCAGAGTCATACTTATGGATGCGAGTTGTCTAATTCTGTATAACAATATGAGATAATTCTTCCATAAAGATTATCTATTAATGTGAACAAACAAAGCACCAGGTACAACAGGAAAACTGCACGTAATTAGTCACATGAAATCCTAACCAAAAACAGCTTAAAATAACCTGAAATACAAAGATTTCTTCTTATAACACAAGCAATAAATTGTGTTATTAGCACAATTCTTTTATTAGCACAAGTTTTTTTCTCTTCTTTTTGAGTCAGAGTGTCACTCTATTGCCTAGGCTGGAATGCAGTGGCATGTTGAAGGCTCACCACAGCTTCAAACTCCTAGGCTCAAGTCATCCTCCTGCCTCAGCCTCCCGAGTAGCTGGGACTACAGGCACCTGCCAGCCTGCCACCATGCCTGGCCCTTGTTTTTTTAGAGGCAAGGTCTTGCTATGTTGCCCAGGTTGGTCTCAAACTCCTAAACTCAAGCAATCCTCTCATCTGGGCCTCCCAACATGGTGGGATTACAGGCATGAGCCACTTCACCAGTCCTTAGCACAATTCAGAGAAGTTGAGCATTGGCCTATACCAGCAAAGACCATAGACTCTGAGATAAACTTTGAGGTTTCATCTGGGATTTTTCTTCTCACCATACCATAAGACATTGGTCAGATCACGTACATTCCTGAGCTTCAGATAATCTATTTGTATTCTGCGTAATAATGTGGGATACTGTAAACTTAGTACCGGATACATTACCTGGCACCTCAAGGAAATTAGTCACACAGGATCCACAGGGAAAGGAAGATAAAAAAATAATCAAAGACTACACTTCTCAAGTAAGAAAATTACTCTATTTATTCCATTATTCAATTAGTGCTCAGCCAACTTCTGCAATCTATAGTGGACTTTTTAACAGATTCTTGAATATACTACTGAGTTTTTAAATATGGCTTCCAAGATAAACTACAAAAGTTAATAAAGAACATATTATGGTTTCCAATATTTGGCACTATAGTGATACTACAGAAACCTGCTTAGAAAATAAGAACACCAATGTACCCTATGTCTACAGAAAAGCAACTTCAATACTTCCAGTGCACACAGCCTCACAATGCCAAGCACTACTTCAAGCCAAGGTCATTTGAAAGCCACCATCCCAGACAGCTCACATGCAAACCTTCTGGCTCCAAAGCCCAGGCCAGTTCCCTCTTCTCAGTGATTTTCAAATATGTCCACAGGACTTTTGTGCACAGGTATAATCAGGGTTCATGAAGGGTATGAAGACAAAGCTTCCCACGTCCTGAGAACTTTAGTCAAGGGTACTCAATTTGGATTTGCTTCACATTCTAAAGTTTTGTGAAGCGTCTGCCAGCCAGCACAGGTAGGGTGTCTCCCCCAAGGAGGCTGAAAGCTTCTGCTCAGGCGCACAGCTCACAGCCCACGGCATGCCAGGCACATGGGGAGCACATGGTAAACCGTGCAGACTCAATGATGGTGGAAATAGCCAGTGAAGAGGTTGCTGGAAAGTCCACACACGTGATGACGGGGCAGAGATCACTGATCATAATTTCGAACGGACTGGGGAAAGGAGGAAGGTACACACAGAATCTGAATAAACAAGTGACTGCTCAGACACAGAGAATGGAGAAGAGAGACAAAGAGAGTCCAGAAGTCTGATTCTACAAAGCAACTGCTAGGGAAGGTAATGAAGCTGGATCAGGAGGGACAGGAACAGCAGTGGCCTGGAGCAGGAAAGCAGAATTTGGCTCCTTTGCGCTGGATTTGAAGGAATGATACAACAACCAGAGGAAGATATGGTTGGAGATCCAAGGCAGTACTCAGGCAAGAGGACAAGACTAGAAACACAGATTTCTGCAGTTACAGAACTACGGATTTGAACAGAAACGTACCATGGACCTCGCATCAAATACTTGTGACTGATGCTCTGTCGCAGAACTTCCTTGTGGAAGAGTTGGCAGGAAAGGAAAGCAACCATTGTCGATATAGCTTCCACCGATATTTCATATGTCATATCTCTGGAGAAGTGGGGAAAAAACAAGAATGATCATTTTGGAAGATTAAGATACTATTCCTTTCTAAATAAACTGTACATCAAAAAGCTCAAGTCTAAATATTCAACATTTTCAGGTTACTGAAAAACATTACTATGTGTAACAAAAAAATTAAATCAAGCAAATCTATCACACTCCTTCTGGTCACGAGCTCTTGCATTCAGATCAGGTATGGCATTTCTGCCCTGCTTTCCAGTTCTCATCTCTCAGGACATTATGACAAGCCCACCTGTGTGTAATGAACACAGTCACCAGCAGTGTTCTGCTTTGAAGATCCACTCTAGACCTCTCTGTCCATCTCTAGAGTAACAATGCAGAAATAAACACTCAGACTGTAAAACTGAAGAGAAACCGCAGTGCAGAAGAGCAAAGCGGTGCCTCTCAGTGCTAATAACTGCTCTCCAATCAGAACAGCAGCACTCCCTAGATCTTTGTCTCCTCCACTTCCTCAAGGTCAACTTTGCATGTCCAGCAAAATAGTAACAGTAAACACATCGCTCCTATTTCATTAAGCATGTTTCTATTATGAAGGACCAAACTGTTCTTAGATCATCAATATTTTTTAGAAACAAATCTTAAAAGAAGGACAAACATATGGACTTTGCAGCAACTTGGATGGATTTAGAGTTGATCATACTCAATGATCTATCACAGAAACAAAGAACAGAGTACCATATGTTCTCATTCATAAGCAGACCTCGAACAATTATCATATTGTAAGAAAGGGATTGGCAGTAGTGAGAAACTCCGGGGGTGGGGGGAATTGGCAGCTGAAGGAAACTGCCAGGGGAGGGAGGGGCACACCTCATCAACAAGTGTACCTGCATAATCGTTTGTATGCCTAACCCTGAATTGTACCCCACATTTTTAAAAGAAAAAAAAAAGAAAAAGAAACAAATCTTAGATCAAATAAAAAATTTCAGAGGAGCAGAAAACATAGAGAGGGATAAATACATACAGAAGTTTCCAGTTACTGTTCGAGTCTAAACAGGATTATAGTGGAGAACATTAACACATTAAGACCAGGAAAAGCAGAAACTTCAGCATAACCAAAAAAGCAACAGCTCCAGAGGATATCAAAATATGTTTTCAAAACTGAAATAGTCATGGAAAGCCCAAAGAAAAATACTCTACTTAAGTGAAAGCTCATTAAACAAATTAAAGATGACTTGATTCCAGAACTGGACAAGTTTAAATTCTACCTGATAGAAATAGGCTTTAAAAATAAGGCATACAAAACATAAGAGCTCCACACTATTGACCTTATTATGTGATAAATAAAGCTCAGTTCTACTCAGAAATCTCACTTTTATAGTACTGTGGACCAATTCTCTTTCCTGGAATTTCCATAATTACTGCTGTAAATATTAATCACATAAACAGCAATTCTTGCATTTATTGGTACTTCATGGACTGAGTGAGAGACAAATCTGATGTTTTACATCATGTTATGATTCATTACTCATGATTTGAGAGCTCAAAACTCCAAAAGACTTTGCATCACAATAATCATTCATTCATACAGCCCAGGCCCATTGGGAATCCATACTCTATAGCCAACTGCCTAGGCTTTGTGGTTGAGTCAGGGCTTAACCCCAAATCCTGAAGTAACAATACCTTGCCATGGATTGGAGCCTATCTAGACAGGTAGACAGATGACTAGCTACAATGCATTTGCAAATGTATTCAGCCCCTACATCAATAATAAAGAATCAGCTGCGGTGGCTTACAACTTACATCTTACTCAACGTCCCAGATCTAGAAGCAAACTGTTTGAGTTTGTTTAAACTAAAAACGATAACTATTAATAAACACTAGGTCTAATAGCCTTAGGGAAAGAGCGTGTATTTAGAACACAGGGTTCTTCAAATTAATTCCCAGCAGAATCACATGTGGGAGAACAGAAAAAGTGTTAGCCCTTGGCTTATCCTCCCTTACCACACATTCTGTGAGTTTCCAAGAGTGACGAGCAGCGGATTTGATGCTGGAGGCAAGGAAAGCTCACTGCATACAAGACATCATGGTTCACAGCCAGGGAAAATCCATTCTCCAGAATTCCTAAATGGAACTAAGTGATGACTCCTCTTTGCTTCCGTAGGCCCAGAGAAACAAATTCCATTAAATTGCTTATGACACTATATTTCTGTTCATATATCATTCAACAAATATTGATGAAAAATGTACTCATACTATGTCTAGACAGGCACTATGCTAAATACTGGAGACACATCCATCAACAGCACAGAGGAGGCTCCTTCCTTTATGGCACTCGCAGTTAGTGGAAAAGAGAAAAGTCAAACAGGGCTATAAAGAAAAGAACAAGTAAAAACAAGAGAGGATTATAGGCAATTCTGATTTTAACTGAGGGATCAAAAGGAAGCTTTTCTAAAAAAGTGACAGTTAAGGCCTTAAATATAAGTAGCAGTTACTTGCAGACAAATCTATCTTTTTTACTAGAATATGCAAGATTCTAGCTAGAGATCCTTTAGCTTTTGCTGCTGTATTTAGTCTCAACTCTAGTATATCTAGTTACTCAAAGGATAACCAGAGAGAGAGATCTTTATTGCTTTGATTTCAACTGGAAACTTAAAGAATACCTTCCTAAATAGATTCATCAGCATGGTGTGCAAGGTATACATAACTTAGAAGAGCAAAGAGGAGGAAGAATGATGTGGTTGTGTAATACACGTTCATAAGCACAAAAGGAATACTCACTGCAACAAAAACGGCAAGGGACTTCAGGAAAGAAGGACCCAGGATGTCCCTGTCTGGCTTGGAGGCTATCTTCTATTAATTTTGCCTGACCAACATCCTCCTCTCCCTCCGGCAAAAGGAGTCCTCTTTCCTTCTAAGAAATGCAGTTCGTTTAGGGCTTGACTCTGACTCCTGGTTATAAGAGATGATCACGGTTTGTCAAATAAAAATGGTCCCTATCAAAATCTTTCTCAGTGCTTCTGGAACTCTCCAGGAATCAGGCACTCTCTCTTTCTGAGACGGAGTGCTCAGAACCACATGTGGGAAGAGCTGCTGGTGGCTTTCTCTGCGGATGTGGAAGATCAGGTCTAAGAAGGGAGCCTGTTGATAGAGTAAGTCAAGCAGGGACAAGTGACCAAAGGGGGAGAGAGATGGTCCTAGTGAAGGGTCAGCAGAAGAACCAGGCACATAGAAATAAATTATAGGGAACCCAGCAAACCCCATGAAGGAATATGAACTGTCTGGATTAGGAGCACAAAGATGATAACAAACAAGCCACCTGGACAGAAGGGAAGTGCTTCACAAAGAAGATGAAGCTTAAGCAGAGGAAGAATACGAACCAGGGGGAGGGCGTTCAAGAGAAGAAATCATGCAAAGGCAGGCAGCCACAGAATGGGGTAATTTTGAAGTAGGAAATTCAATATTGATCAAATAGATTGCAAGGAGGTGGAACAAGGGGTAGGGGCAAAGGGACTGGTAGTAGAAGCTAAAAAATGAATGAAATGGAAGTATGTACATATTGGAGGAAAAGAGATTAAAACCATTCTAAAAGAATCAACAAACTATTAGAATGAATTTAAAAGTTCAGCTAGGTTGTCAGATACAAAATCAACTTTGAAAAATAAATAGCATCCCTCCTTAGTAGTACTAACCAACAATAGTAGATTATGAAAAATAAGATAGTTTTTGCAAGATTGAAGGAATAATTAAAATATTTGGATATTAAGAATTCACAGGAGGTGGGCACAGTGGCTCACGCCTGTAATCCCAGCACTTTGGGAGGTGGAGGCAAGAGGACTGCTTGAGCTCAGGGGTTGGAGACCAACCTGAGTAACATGGTGAGACCTCGTCTCTTCAATAAATAACGAGAAAATCAGCCAGGCATGGTGGTGCATGCCTGTGGTTCCAGCTACTTGGAAGGCTAAGGTGGAAGGATCGCCTGAGCCCAGCAGGTCAAAGATGCCGTGGCTGTGAGTGTGCCACTGCAATACAGTACAGCCTGGGTGACAGAATGAGACTCCGAGAGAGAGAGAGAGAGAGAGAGAGAGAGAGAGAGAGAGAGAGAGAGAAAGAAAGAGAGAAAGAAATAAGGGAGGGAGGGAAGGAAGGAAGGAAGGAAGGAAGGAAGGAAGGAAGGAAGGAAGGAATTCACACGAACTCTATGAAGAACAGTAAATTCATAAAGTACACAGAGGATGATTTCAATGGAATGACAGTACCTTAGCAATTCTACCCAAATTAATACAGAAAGTCAATGGAGTCACAGTCAAAATCCCCAATGAACTTTTTTGAGGAAATTCATAAACTGACTCTAATTTTTACGGAATAACAAAGAGCTCAGTCAATCTTGACAATAAAGAGTGAAGAAGAGGACTCTTCCCATAAAGTATCAAGCCACATTACACAACTGTGGTAATAAAACAGCATGGCATTTGTACCAAAAATTAAGCAAACCTGCAGAACCCAACCGAGAACTCAAAGACACACCGATGTATGTATGGAAACAATATACAACAAAGATGACTCTATAAAATCAGTGTAGAAAGAACAGATTGCACAGAAGACAGTGCTGGGAAAAACTCTGATTTCACGAGGAAAAATTACAACAGAACCCTACTTTACAACAAACTCAAAGACCTACTACAGATTAATTAAAGACTGAGATGTGGAAGATGAAACTAAAGCAAACAGAAGAAAACGTAGAATGATAAGATTGTAACACCTGCACAAGAAAGGACTTCTTAAATAAAAGCCTTCAATAAATAGCACACAAGGCATACAATACAGATTTAATTACAGCAGAATTAAGGATTACCGCTCAACAAACAAAACCTTCAACAAAGTTAACAAAAAGATAACAGACTGGAAGAAAGAACAAGGAACTAATTTCTAGACTACTATAAGCAATTTCTGCAAGTGATCAATAACAAGGCAGAAATTGCTAGAAAAAAGAGCAAATGATATAAACAGGCAGTGTGGAACCATGTGAT